AAGCTGCCGGAGAAGATATAATTATTCCTATGGTTGGCTGCGAGACGAATCCTCTGGTGACTTAATGATCTGAGACACAAGTGGGCTGCAATGGAAGTAAAAACGTGCTCCATGGCTTAAGAGATTGCGAGGTTGCCACAACTACACGGAAGAAATTTGTGCCGGTGGATCAATGGGCAAGATACTCCACTATGGATTTTGTGGAATTTCAGAACCGGTACCGGTAGGTGGAACTTCCAACAGAGAAGGTGTAGCGTCATGTGGAGGTAGTGCTAGAAATGAGAGAAGCGAGTGGCTCATTGGTTTTTAACTGTCAGTTCAGCATATATCCCAGCACAATGGCCGAACTTTTGGGCTGTTATATTAAATTGGGACTGCAAGTCTGCTGGGACATAGGTTAGAGAAACCCCGAATCCAGGGCAGCGATAGACCATATCCCGGATACCAAGAAGTGCATTATAATGGATTGGGATATTAGTACGAGACATGTTCCTGGTACCCAAAACCAATGCGCAGTGAAGTGAATTATATGATATCCCTTCTCATCATTAGCGAATATGAGAAACGGAACAATGAAAACCGCAAAGAATTATATTCATACCATCTTACTTTTTCTTTTTTTGGCAACATATTTATACCATCTTCTGTATAGCCAATCCTTCTTCAGTCTTCACCCGGTTTCCTAAACCCCTAAAAAAGGTCTTGTCATCTCGAGAAGCCCATGAAAACTCAATCGTATATTTCATCTTAAAATTGAACCTGTAGTAGCCCAACGTGTTCAGATATGACATTCAACTTACACGATCTATTTATATATATATATAAACTTACAGTATCTATTTGTACACAAGAAGTCAAGTGGCAGCCGAGTCCAATGAAGGTATTTGCGAAAAGCAAACAAGATGCAGTCTCTGTTTCAGTGGTCGCAGCACAGAAGTGCTTAGGTGGGGCACCCTGATGATCTTAGCATGAGTTCAAAGTCATGAAACTATAGCAGCAGGTCCAGCCATGGCAAAAGTGCATTTTGCAACCGGTTCGACCCTAGGCAAGGGTAAACCGCCACACACTGCTCTTTACCTTCCTATTAAGTATCAACAATCTCCAATAAAGGCAAGACTAAAAGGGTCTCCTGCCACGTTTCCCTATTTTCTCCTAAAGGTTATCAACTGCACAGGCAAAGCAAGCAAACACATGCATTGGTAAATGAATCCAACGACACGCCTTGGTTACGAATGGCATAGATTCCGCAGACAGACATGGGATCTTGTCTCTGATTTTGCCCTGGTCAGCTCTGTGCCGGTCTGTTTTAGACAATATCACATATTTAAGAGGCAGTGATGAAACTATTTGCCCTTCTCTAAGAAATGTTTTATGCGAAGTTCCATTTCGGCTAACAAATTGCTTTTCTAAGAAGCACATAGGTTCACCGTGTTCTGGCTAATACAAGTGTGTGTGTGTGTGTCTAGGCTTATTGTGGCCATCGTATTTTATATGATAACCAAGGGAACTTGGTTTCATGGCAGATCAAACATATGTACTATCTTTATACATGAAAATAAGCGACTACAAATCTGGGCCGGCTCAAAGTCCAAGAGAAAAGTTAACTATGGTTTGAAAACAAAAGAAATAGTTGCCAACTTAGCTAACAAGAGGTGGGGCGCAGAACAAGACTATCTTTCCTACAAAATCTGCTATGTTTTGCTGAACGGCATTCAACATCAATACTAACGGCACATAACAATGATTCACACGCATCCACACAGCCTACAAAATTATGACTCTAATTCAAAGAACTGGCCTGGGAGGTACCAGAACACAGAAAATATAGTACAATGTTTACTCGGATACCTATACCCATCACATGTAAAACGAAATTTTATAGTTGTGTCGAGATGTAACCTGAACATTCGAAAACACGACAACAACTTATTCAAGTATCTAGCTTTGGAGGATCTTGACCATCCTACCAGATTACAATTCAAACTCATCCTCAAGCTTCAACGCCTCGGCGGCAGCCTCTTCCTCCTCATCGTCAATTACAAAATATGGATTGTGCGCCTCAGGCTTAAACTTGTAACCGGTAAACACATAGAAGGAGAGAGTGGCCAACTCTGCACATACCACGCTGGTCCAGGAATACTTGTAGGAGGTTATGGTCTCCAATGCATATACTACAACCCTCGTGAAGTAAATGTAACATATAACGACGATATAGTAATGTCTGAAAAGGGTTAATTTCATCAAATTAACAGCAGCCTTGCCATCAGTTCTTGCAGCCTCACGCAGGTTTTTGATGGACCATACAATAGGAAAGAGAACAGCACAGCAGCAGACAACATCAACAAGCAAAAAGATCTGTTTCCAAGTAAACCAATCATGGCCATATGGTCCACTCTCATCGATGACAACCTGAGCGATGTTGGCAACAACTTGAAGCGGGATGACAATCATCAAAACCTTCTTTTCCTTGTCCTGCAGGTATGGTTTCAAGAACGACCATCCGGTGCCAATCAGCACAATAAGAGTGAAGAGAGAGATTCCCTTTAAGAAACTAAAAATGTAAAAGAGGACATCCCAACCATGGGCACTCCCAGTTCGCTTGATATAGGATTTATCTTCGGCCTCGCACAAGAGATTCAAAGCCTTCAAGATGAGGACGGCGAGCATAAAGAAGTGGATGCGGAAAGCGGTCAATCGCTTCTTGTAGAGGATGTAAATCCAGAGACCAGCAAGACCAAAATAGGCCAGAGAGAAGAGGAAATAAACCCTGGGGAGGATAGTTCTGCCGGCAGACAAGTAATCGCGGACGAGGCCCTTTCCGTCAAGGTTGTACATAGCAGATCGAACGTCCATAGAAATTTTAAGCTGCTGCTCATAGCAGTTGGCGAAGACAAGATTGTACTGATCGGCGTCCTTTTGGACGTATTCCGTGTTGAAGGAATCGGCGTTATTGAGAGAATTAAAGGTGTAAACAGACTCGATAAGATCGGACTGAAGAACGCAGGTAATCTCGCGGTCTTCGAGTTGCTGAAGGACGTGGAGCCAGGAATCGAGGGTGCAGAGGAAGAAGCCAACCTTGGAAAGGTCGAGCTTGGAGTCGGAGAGAGAAATCTTGGAGACGCTGAGCTCAAGGCGGCCGGAATGGGTAAAGCCGAACTGATCAAGGGGGATAAATGGGCGGTCGTCATTGCGGATCTCCGTGAATCGGATCTCGGCAAGTGAAGGGGGAAAGAAGGTCAGGCAAAGCAGCGAGAGAAGGAAAAAGAGAGAAGACGAGAAAGCCATGGGTGGTTCAGATCTGAAGACAAGGTTGCTGCACTCAGATCTGATATATCTTCGCTCTATTTTGGTCACAACCTCTACTTGGTGCAGCAGCAACCGACTCGGTAGAAATTGAGAACGCCTATCGCTTTTCTCCACACGCTTTGACGAGACTTTTCTTTATTCAGCGGAAAAATCAAAGTTCATGAATTTCAAACGATGGCTCTCTCAATTTTTTTTTAGCCCAAGGAATCTCACGAGTTGTTACTTCAGGATGAGAATACTGGAGTTAACTTGCCTCCATTTTTCCTCTCTCCACTTTCTCCTCATTTTTCATCTCAACCATCAAATTTATTTTTAAATGATTAAAATTTAATATTTTATAAAATTAATTTTTTTATTTTTTAACTGTTATTAAAACATCAAATTTATAAAAAATTAAATAAATTTAAGATATAATTAATTTTATTTAAACTACAATTCAAGATTTAAGATTATAATTTAAAATAAAAAAATTAATTTTATAAAATATTAAATCTCAATCATTTAAAATAAATTTAATGGTGGAGATAAAAAATAAAAAAAAAGTAAAAAGAGCAAAAATAAAGAGAAGCAAACTCCGAAAATACTACTGCCAAAGGGAACAAGAAGTAACTTTGTTCTTGGCAGGCAACGACAAGGGCAGAATACTTAAAATATTGTTTTGATATTTAAAATGTAGCATTTTTTTATTATTTATTTATTAAATTAAAACAAAACTAATTAAAACAAACTCATTTACTGACCAGTAGTAGGACTTCCTGCCGTCTATGAAAATAGTATCTTCTGATCATAATACACGACTTTTTTTAAAAAATTTTATTTAACTCAAAATATAAAATATTAAATAATTTTTATAATTATTTTTTTAACTATACCCCAATCTTATTTATTACTCTTTTAAAAATATAATGTATTAAAATTTTATTTATTATTATTAAATTTTTTTACATAAAATATTTAATGAGGGTATAATTGATAAAATATAAAAAATTTTATAAAATTAAAATTTTAACTAATATTTTTTAAAACCATAAACTAAGTAAATTAACTACTAATATCCTATACTTTTTTTTTTTTTATAAAACCAATGTCCTATATTTTAATCCAGGGACATGGTGTTGAACTTGCATGGCAGCCATGGTTGCCACAACCATGCAGTCACATCCAATTAAAAGATGATTGAGGGCACAAAAAAAAAAGTTCATTGAAGTTTGAAATCCATCACTTGAAGATTTATTGGATTTCGGAACTTGGTTGTTGTGCAGTTGATGACTAGCGAAGCATGTAGGTTTAAGAGCTTGGTTTAATGACAGGTGAATCCATATTATCACATTTTAATTCAACCATTATTACTCCTCTCAAATTTTACCTGATTTTTAACTTTTTTTCTACACATTTTATATAGTGTTTATTCTTGCAACACTTCTCTACAAATTTAGATTGGGTTTGTTTTGGCCGGAAAATATAAATTAGGTCTGAATGTTTAAAAAAATACAACATATATCTAAATTAAAAAGAACTCCAAAGAAAAATGCAAATAAAAATACCTTGAAACTCTAAATATGCAAACGAATCTACGAATTGCTTTGGCAAAACATGTTTACAATACATTATGACAAGAAATTTACATGCCTCGTTTCTTTAGAGTAGCCATCATTCGAAACAAAGATCAAAAGTAGTTTAAATTTTAGAGAATGAAAACAGATAACTACATCAATTTGAATACCTTCGACAGGCATAAGCCCTTCTAAACTTCTTGAACTGGTTTGCTGCACATCTTGGAGGAAATGACATTAACCAATGGAATTATCAAAAACAAATTACAAAGACAAAAATATACAAAGAATATATGTGACAATTTTGAGGCTTGCAGCAAGTGCCCCGTAATTTCTGCTGATAACCTATAAAGTGTAAATCATCTTTTGTATGCAATCCCGCCCAACCCTGACACCCAACCCCAAACTTAGAAGTAAATTAGCATGTTTCAAAGGCTTCAATACAATCCAGGCCTGCTCAAAACTTGCTTTCATGAAGAGATCACACAAACCATACTTCCAGGCATAGAAAACGGTCAAAGAAAGAAGAAATTGAGTCAGTACCAACGTTACAAAGAAGAAATCACTCCATATTCAAACCACCACAGATTCGCCACTAATTCCATCATGAAGCTGAAGTGAACCATCCTTCATCAAGTTTAGACTAAGACTCTTGAATCTCTCCCTTGAATATTGCCTAGATGCTTTTCTCCAGTCAGTTCCAGTTTTCATCATGGCCACAAACTCCTCATAACTTATCCGGTCATCCTGTATAAAAATAAAAAAAAAACAGAACAAAAATTAGCAATTTTCAGAAAGTCATCCAATGTCAGTCATTCTATGTTATTGAGCTCCTTTTCCACCGCCTTCCCTCCCATGTATTTTTATCTTCTTCAGCAATCAGATTCACGGTAAATAAAAAACCGAATCTGAAAAATCGGTCATGCGTTTAAAAGCCAAACCTTGTCTGTGTCAACCTCACGCATGATGTCTTTCAATACATCCGCTTCAGTCTCCCCTGACTCATCAGCTAATGCTTCGCGTAGCTCACCTAACTCAATATACCCGCTCCCATCTTTGTCAAAGAACATGAATGCTTTGCGGATATGCTCGTCATTCTCCATTTTCTGCAGGTGAATTGTCACAGCTACAAACTCTCCATAGTCCAGTACTCCGTTCCCATCAACATCGGCCTACGTAATTCAAAGCAAAGAAAACCATCCTTGGGTCACAAATATGTTATTACAAAATACAAATACATCTGAGAAGTCCAGGGTTGGAATGAATGAAAAACATTTTAAATAAGAAGCTCACTAGAATAAAACTATAAAACAAGGTTCGATGGTTTGTTCAGCCATAAAATTTAGTATAGCTAAGAGGTTACATTGGCTCTAGAGAAAAGTGTGGTCTATTTCTGGTGAAAATGTGCCTTTTTTCTCACAAACTATTTCAAAGAAAATAAATTAAAATAAGCAAGCAAAAAGGGAGAATAAACCCATTGTAAAGAACCTCTAGCTTCATTTATCGAATTCTGAACAGTAAGTCAGTAACACTAAAAGAAGACTACTTTTTGTCTATTTACATTAGCACGCATTCATCTTGTTTCTAACACTGTATGACATAATGCAATTCAAGGTATACGCATCTTGCACATGCCAAACCAGAAAAAGGATAATGAGAAACTTCATTATAGGAGGGTAAGGCGAGCTCAATTTTCAGCTCAACATATTGCTAAATTCAGTTCTCAAGAATCAAATCCGATTGACTTAAACTCAGCACTTATAGACTAACTGAAATGATGAGGAGCAATTCGCCAATTACATTAGAATGGTGTGTGATACAGAAACTTACCACTTCCATCAGCATCTTTATCTCTGGCTCAGCCAATTGTGAACCAACCTTCTGCAACCCAGCCTTGAGTTCCTCGTATGTTACTTTGCCATCTTTGTCAACATCCATCAATGTGAACATATCTTTCATTATTTCTACCTCTTCGACAGATAAATGCTCAGCAATTACCTGCAGATTTATTTCGAAGAAACCCAAACCACCAAGACATACATCAGTTTCTTCATATTAATTTTCATCACACAGAAACTAAGCCAGCAATTATACATGAACTAACACAGACGCTTACCCTGAGGGCTCTCTTTTTGAATCTGTTCATCACAGAGAACTGCTTAAGCCTTGCCCTCACAATATCTCCAAGTGGAACATTTGAAGCTTTCTTTGCATTTTGTAGCCAGGGATGTTCTGCAAACATATATATGGACTGTAAATATCAAACTTGCTTTCTATATTGACTGAAGACCATGCATAAGTTCAGCGACCAAAGAATTCAAACACATTATAATTTCTAAAGAAAAAGGAGGGGGACGCAGACAGGAAACAATGAAATAAAGGTTCACTTGGGAATGAGAATATTCCTCATAGCAAAAGAAAAAAAATCACAAGACAAGCAGATTATTTCAAATTTTTAGCTGCTTAAGCATTTGTCAATTTTTGTGTAGGCTTGTGTTTGGGCTTGTCCATATCACCAACATAGCTAACGCCATTGACACAAATCTACACATCCTTCGTCTTTCATATTAGACAAGAGACTTCTATTTACCAACATTACCCCGCCTGCTCTTCTTGTTTTTTTAAAAAAATCCCGAGTTTAGTTTTCTTTGTCCTGGGCTTGTGTTCTTTGAGTCTTAGAGGCCTTAAGTCACAATCTTCTCCTCCTCCTTTTCTTTTTGGGCCGAGAATTCAGTGATCTAAAGTTTTGAATTCTCCACTGATTCATCTTATTCAATCTCATCTTCAGATGCAAATAGTGTTGGTGATGATAGATACGCCAGATTCTCTAAATCCTAGATTCTAGGATCTAACCATTATTCAAAGCTCAAATAAATAATAAGATAGAGATAAATTATTAAAGATACTAAAAATACAATAAAACAGGATAAGGATAAAATAGAGTTAAGATATATATCTCAACACATTCTTATTATTAAGAGGCACTAAAATCATCTTATTCAATTACTAAAAGATTTAAATACTCCAGATATAATAGTTACCAAAACCTCATACTTGAAAGGCATGACACTTATCTCATCACACATCTCCCAACAGGGAAAAATAAAATACATAAAGCTTATTCTTCAACATCAAATAAGTTTATTACAACCCCCCCCCCGGCTTATACTCAGGCAAATTTCATATACACCCAGATACAGCCACAACATGAATCCTGCGTAGTCTAGTAAGGATGATGGAAATAAATTGTGCCTAAGGGCTAAGAGTCAACAAATATTGAATTTAATCGATCACATCAGATACTAGAACCAAAACTCATTGGGATTTTTGTCTATAAACATTTTGTGCAGCATGCTAGCACTTGGAGAAGCAAAATAGTCTCCAATATGACCAAGAATTAACAGTCCTCAATGTACCTAACATTGACATTACTTATAATTACTGAGACCGGAGACTGCAAGGCATACTTTTATCGGACAGATAACTAGACAGCCTGAAAAATTTCAGTGTCTCACATTTAGCGTACTTATAAATCCCTAGTATAATGATACCCTACCAAGTCAATGTGACAAATGCACTGTTACGCTCGTAACAAATAATTGATCATCTTCTCGGTGTTGCGGTATGATCAATCGCAGAGGGATGAAATGCTAACCAAAGCAAGAAATTTAGTGGGTTTTTTATTTTTCCATCTATTCAGAATATTCCATTTAGTCCAAGTTACATGTGAATTAATCTTACCAAGCACTTGTTCAGCTGTTAAGCGCTTTTTAGGATCTGGTTCCAGCATCTGTCGTACCAGGCTTTTGGCACTATCCGAAATCTGAGGCCAAGGTTCCCTCTTGAAGTCAATTACGCCTCGCAGAATTGCCAAAGCAACGCCTTGTTCACTTTCTGCCATGAAAGATACAAATGTCATGAAAATTCGAATTTCCGTTACCATATCCACCCGCTACAGAAGACAGCTAAAATTTCAAAAGCAGTACCTGCCCAAAATGGAGGAACTCCGCATAACAATATATAAAGAATCACTCCGGCGCTCCAGATGTCAACCTCTGGCCCATAGTGCCTTCTCAGAACCTCCGGCGCCATATAATAAGGACTCCCAACAATCTCTGAGAACTTTTCTCCTGAGAGAAAAGAAGAAATTAATTTAAGACGAAAGCGGCATGAAGAATCTGTTGAACTATAACCGAAAAAGCAAAAGCTAACCACACACCAGGCTTGAAAAAGATAGAGAGCCCGAAATCGATGGCTTTGAGGGCGGAATTCTCTTTCTTGTTGGCAAAAAGGAAATTCTCAGGCTTCAGGTCCCTATGCATAACCCCGTTAGCATGGCACATCCTCACAACCTCTGCAATTGTTCTGGCCACGTTCGCGGCCGCTCGTTCGCTGTAGTGTCCTCTCGCCACAATCCGATCAAAAAGCTCGCCGCCCTCGCACAGCTCCATCACAAGGTGCACGTTTTCGTTGTCCTCGTAGGTAGCCTTGAGCTTCACGATGTTGGGATGATCCGGTAACGTGGACATTATAGCGACCTCGCGCCTCACGTCCTCAATATCCACCGCCGTCCTCAGCTTCCGCTTCGAAATCGACTTACAAGCCAGTGCTTCCTTCGTCTCTCGGTCCGTACAGAGGTAGGTGATCCCAAACTCTCCTCGACCCAGCTCGCGACCCAGTATGTACTTGTCGCTGATTCGGGTTCGATGACTCAGTGGAATCACATCCTTCAAGACCCGGATCGGAGCCGTCGAATGAATAGCTTCTTCTGAAAATGGATTCGGTCTTCCTTCCTTGATTTTCTTCTTGGTTCCATGGTTAGAGTGGTGGTTGGACTTGTCTTCCACGACCTCTGCTTTCACACAGCAGTTTCCCATACTGATTTCGAACTTCAAAGCACAGAATCGTCCCCCTTGATTTCCTGTCACGATAAAATAGGCTTTTTTCGAGTTCCGTGGGGAGTAGACGGATCGGAGCACCGCCGGTGGGTCCTCCGGCGGAGGGAAGTGAAGGAGGGAGGGAGAGAAAACGCAAGGTCGGTTTCAAGTGAGAAAAAATATGCTATTTAGGATTATTAAAGAAATAATCTCCTCTGCCAAGAGAAAATTGAAATAATGATCCAAATATCTTAACTAAAGGCTAAAAGGTACTAGTAGTGTATTAGTTTTATCTTTTGTGCAGTTTTGTGATTTGAAATCAAAATACATACGCGGTTTTTGTTTTCCCTATCCGGGTTTTAACAATGGGTTGCACGCTTTGGTTCCTTTCCCTGTTGCTAGAATCTGGAATGAATTGCATAATTATTAGAGTTCTTATAATTTTGTTATGCATGGTTATGTAAATTAAGAACTCTTTTTCAGAACAACAACAATAACAAATCTCATTTCATTAACAGAATTGGCTACAAAAATTATATGATACCAATATACCTTATCATTTATTAAATCTTTAAAAATATTATTAATTAAAATATTTCATTTAATAATTTTTAAAAGTATTTTTTTAAATTTTTTCTACCTCTCTTAACAGAGTTTAAAATCACTTTTTTAGAACAAAATATAAAAAATAACATTTAAATTTTTTTATGAACAAAAATTTTTGTGAGTTGGATGTGGAGACTCATTAAAGTCAAGGTATACTTTTAAGTTTAAAAAATGCTTATAAAAAGATTGCTTAGTAACAAAACCCCCATATGTTAACACAAACTTATGGGTTATGAGAATAATATTTAAGTTTAATCTGACCGTAAATACGCGATTAGTATTTGATTGTAATCTTCACCATGTGGAGCTTTGTCACTCGCGTACCAATTTTTTACTTTAAATGCCTTGATCAAGTATATTTATAATCATCAATAAATATATACACGTATGTGTTTGTGTAGAGATTCGAATTAGGAAATCCGCCTCCAGCCTCAAAGCATGGGGTTTAAATAGGACAAGATATGTGAGGTGATGATAAAGGCACGGTCTTAAAGGACAGGTTAATACGTTAAAGGATTAATAATGTTTTTTTTAATACAAAGCTTCTGTAAAATCATATAAAAAAATCAAAATTAAAATCAGGTCATATCAAAAATCATAAAATTTTTATAGTTATTGGATGGTCTATTTAATAAGATAATATCAAAGTGACATCTCAAAGCTCTGTGAGTTAAAAGATCGACACAATTATTAACATTTTGTAAATAGATAAATAATTTATTGATGTTAATAGCAACCGTCTTTTATTTTTTGGATTTGAGGGGGAAAAAAAACAAGCAAGGAATTGAAGCAGAGCTGAGGCGAAGTGATTGTGGCAATCAAAACAGATTTCTCCATCGAGCAAGTGAACGAGTAACTTTGGAATATTTGAGGGAGGAAGCTTTGAAAGTAATTGGAATTGAAATATAGCAGTAATATAATTGATAATTGATAAGTTTTTGAGTTAAATGTTAGTATTTTAAAAAATAATGATAATTTTTTTAAAATTATATAAATGATATTCTATTCATTCAAAATGTCATAATTTTCTTTAAATTTTTATAAATTTTTTTTATATTAAAGAATTCATGTAAACAATCAAATTATCATTAATTCAAATATCAATTATCATTCGTAAGTTTTATTCTATATTTATAACTTTTTTAAAAAATTACAATAATTTAATAATAATTTACAAGTCTACATTTAAAATCCTAACATTCTTCAAACGTTACAAATATTAATTATCATTTATAAATTTTATTTTAATATTTATAATTTTTTTTAAAACTCATAAGAATGTAACGATAGTTTGTAAATTTACATTTGAAATTATAAATTAAGAATAATTTAATTATTTATATTAATTTTTTAATAACAGGAAAGTACTTGAAATTTTTTAAAAAATTATAACATTTTAATAGATTAAAATATCATTTACATAATTTAAAAAAAAACTTATTATGGCGTTCTTTTTTTTTTTTTAGTGAGATTTGAATCTTATTTGGTTCTGCAGTAAGAGACCAGTTCTTTCTATCTTAGATGTAATAGGCCATGAGTCCACAACTACGACAAAACGACATGGCCCCGTGTTGAGAAGATCAGAAAACAATAATTCTCAAAGCCGGTGGCTTCTAGATTTTCACTGCCCAAGTCGTTCAACGATGGAATGGAGGTGGAGGGCCCTGTTTCGTCTAATCTTAATCCTCTTGCGATTTATCTCTTATTCTTTGTAACGCCGTTCCCATTTATTTATCTTTGCCAAATTAATCTACTCTCATTTCGAATGATTCCATAAGCTGTCTTTCTTCGTTTTCTCTTACTAGCTTGACTTTGCGTGCCCACACGCGCGCGCACATTGTACCTCATTTGGGTGAAGAACACGAGTTATTTATCGATTTATTGATTATTGATTATTGAAGAATTTAATTATCGGTTGATAAAAAAAAACTTTAATTTTTTAGTCTCCATTGAAATTTACAAACTAGATATTTTTAAAATAAATTAGTATGGGAAACTTTTAACAACAGGGTAGATAATGTCGACAAAAAAAAAAATCGAATGTCCTAGGCTCACTGTCCAACTGAAAAAACACCCCACGCACGTAAAGTCCACTGTATCGGGTAAATCTTTTGCTTTTTTGGCCGGAGGTAAATCTTTTGTTCAACTAATAATAAAACACATAATTTCACCTGACAAATGTACTTGATTGTCACACTAATCAAGTATTTATATTTGTTTCAGTTGATTTGAGGTTTGCTACTGTCTCATAAAACTAGCGAGAATCCAAGGCTGGATATAATGAGCACCGAATAAATAAAAAAAATCAGAAGCTATAATGTATTTATGACCTAATACGGTAATCATTGATACAAGAACCGAATAAAAAAAATATCAGAAACTATAAAGTTTTCAATTTAATTCTGTGTATAGTGTATTAAAAAAAATCTGTATATAGTGTCACTATTACTATCTCGTTACACAAAGAACCATAATATTAAATTAAAAGTATAGAAGAGAATGTTTGTTCAAAGCATGTATACCTAATTACTATCTCATCGGAAACGTTGTATCTGAGGTGTTGGCCATAAATCGGAAACAACTTTAAAGACGAGCGTCGATAAGATTGACGAGGTCAGCGGACAAAGGAGCTAAAGTTCAAAAGCATACGTGGGATTAAAGACGATGTGTGACGCACGCGGAACTATTTTCTTGTGTCCTCGGTAAAAAATGAAATATGAAATTTTTTATTATTAATATAAAAAGAAAAATCAGTATAATCAAATTTTTTAAATTTTATCCTTTATTTATTTATTGTCGTTTGAAATAACAATTTATTATCATTATTAATCATAAAAAAGAGTAAAATTGTGAATTTTCATTTTTTTATAATTTTAAAATTATAACTAATATTTTTTAATAAGTGTGAAATTAGTTAACTTTTTCATTATCAGCGATAACATGAAAGAGTTCATGTACCTATCTCACTCTCAATTGTTAGAGTAACAGATCAAGAAGAGATAAAAATTATTATAAATTATAAATCAAATAAAAATAACACAAATACTTACACCACACTTGAGCCCTGCATAGTAGATAATAATTTACAGGGAAAATGGCAGTGAAGGCCTTGGAGGAGAGGGGGAAAAAAGTAATAATATTCCTGAACAATTAAAGATTCATCTATGTATAAGTCAACTGATTAATCTTTAGTTGCATATAAACGAATCTTAATTGTTCAGGACTTTCATCTTTTTTGTTTTTTGTTTTCCCTCTCCTTGGAATCCCACTGATATTCTCCCTGATTTATGTGAAGGATTCATTTCCAGGCAATACAAGAAAAACAATGAACAACGTTGAGATACGAGGGTGTCAAAGTCAACAATTTTATGATGACGCGTTTTTGTTCTACATTTTATCGTCTTTGTCTTCACTCAAAGGTTACCAAAAAAAAAAAGGGGAAAAAAATGTTGGCGATACTTTGTCTCCGTCGTCCCCAAAGTCCAAACTCCAAACTAATCCACCCTTCCCTCAACTCAAAGAACAAGTCATGGGTTGTATTTACGCCTTTTCTATAAATGCGTATCTTTTCCATTTTTAATTGTCTCAATGGGGACTTGGCCTGAATACTATTTCAATCAAGTTCTGCCAAGGTGCATGCAATAATATTACTTCCCTATGAATTCTTTTTCCGGGCCAACATTTTCTCATTAATTTTATGCACTGTTTACCAAGTAAAAATAACTTTTCTATAAAAAAAAAAACATGTTCCTTGCATATCAAACCAGTGGGCTAGGTTAGGTGGAATTTTGGCACAGATATCGTGTTTTTTATAAAAAGGTTCACATTCCTTTTTCTAAACAATATGTGTTAGCTAAACGTTCACACTGAGTCCTGCTTCTCTAAATCCCGCCAATATCATGGTATGCCTCGCGGATGGAAATGATAATAGCCAAATCTTCACAATTACGTCGAGGAGTTACAAAAATTAGCCACATGTTTAACATATAAAAAAATATTCTCCATCAAAAAATGTGATGATGAAACGTATGTTATCTTTAAATATTTCAATTCATATATAATTGAATATGATTGAATAAAGTAATGTATGCGCACCTGAAAAATTCATGAGTGCTTGAAAAATCCTGATTACCTCAAGTGTAGATAGGTATACAACCCACATGTTCCCAGAGTTTTCAAAGAGTTCAGAGATAATGAAGCAGTCAAGAAATGAGTCGTGTGTTTTGCGGTTATCCACTAATGGTCTTATATAGGTCAGATCAATAACCGCATTATTATATAATAAATAATTATATATTTTATTATCTCTGACTCAGTCAGTTAAGAGATGAGGAATAACTGATGGTTATTGGGTTATAGGTTGGGCCTCTGTCCATTGGACTCACTTGTACGGTCCTCCTATCATAGTTCACACAAAATCATAAAGATCAATCTGTTTGAATTTATTAATTAATGTTAATTTATAAATAAATAAATATTCCAACAACGTATCCATTTAGAAAATGAGGCAGCTGGTACGTTTTTCATTTTTCATTTAAAAAAATGTTTTTTATTTGCCAAACATTGAATAAGAGTTTAATTAATTTATCTTTTGATGTGTTTTGGCTGTGTT